AAGGCTTACTTGAATCTGCCCAAATGTCATAGAACTCCCTAGAGGGATCCGTCCCGCTGTCTGCTCCGGCTGTGTTGGCTTTGGGAGGGTTTTGTAACCTTTGCTGAAGGAGCCGTTCTTTCCGGGGCACCAACCCCTTTTCTGCCAGCTTCTCCCAGAGTCGCTGTTTCCGCTTCAACTTCCGGCCGTTGGGGACCTGATAAGAAAGGATGCTGAGGAGGAAGGAAGCAGGTTTTACGTCGGACAGCTTGGCACGGCTCAAAACAAGTTAAAATGGCGTAATTCACATCTTCCACTAAGCCAGGGGTGTCCAACCTTGGCAACTTTAAGACTTGTGGACTTCAACTCCCAGAATTCCTCAGCCAGCAAAGCTGGCTGAGGAATTCTGGGAGTTGAAGTCCATAAGTCTTAAAGTTGCCACGGTTGGACACCCCTGCACTAAGCCATAAATCACAGGTAATAAACTGAAGCGGTTTCATGGGGCTAGCTCAAAATCCTTTCTCTGCATGCCAAAGGGCAAACTTAAGACAATCCTCTATTTGAACATTCATCGCGACATTTTCCATTTGAAGAAGATGGCAACAATGGGACCATTTCTTTGGATTTCCAGAAGAATCTCAATTTTTGGAAGCAGCTCTACTAGTCCTTGACTTATTCATTTAGTGATTGGTTGAAGTTACCATGGCACTGAAAAAAGTGACTCACGACCATTTTCCAGCATTCCCCATAGTCACATGATCAAAATTCAGATGGCAACTGGTTCATATTTATGATGGTTGCAGTGTCCCAGGGTCCCCTTTTACGACCTTCTGATAAGCAAAGTCAAAGGAGTTTCACTTAACAACTGGGTTACTAACAATCAACTGCAGTGGTTCACTTAAAAGCCGAGGCAAGAAAGATCGTAAAATGGAGCAAAAGTCAGCTGTCTCACTTAGCAACATAAATTTTGGGCTCAACTGTGGTAATAAGTCAAGGACTATCTATAAAAGGATAACACTTCAAAGATGACACCGGACAATCAAAAAGTATTCCATGAAGAGTTATATGGGAGAAATTCTGGGATCAGGGCAGCCCACAAGGGAGAGGGGAAAAATGATGGCAATTTTCGAACATAGCAAAAACTCAGAAATGGAATCTGAATATTTTTCAAAATGACAAAAACAAAAAGGAATTTGGTTGTTTACTTCAGTTTTTCACTTTTTCAACTGCCCTGGACTACGAAAGCCACAAGAAGAGACATACAAATTAATTAAAATAAGACCCATTCCTCTGCCTGAATCAAACATCCTTGCCCCAAAAATGACAGAAAAGAGATCCTGAAAAGGAATGAAGATGCTGGCTTCCCCACACACGTCTCAACGAAAGACAGAGACAAAACTCACTCTTTGGGCGGAGGGACCTTGGAATCCGGCTGTAGGATCAAGTCGATCTTCAGAGGTTTCTCTTTGGCTGCTTGCTCTTTCTGACCTGGAACAAGAACCAAGGCAGGAAATGAACCCAGGCGTGCCAATCACACCAGGGGTAGTTAACAGCCAAGGGGACTCTAGCAATGAAACCACCTGATTAGGTCTCTTTCCCTTCTTGTGCTCTGCGTCCAAAATGCCTGGTCAAAAACTCGATTTGCCGGTGGCACTAAAGCCGAGCTGCAAGAGAACTGTAGCCAATTCCCTTTATTATGCTTTCATTAAAAAGATCATTATCATTGTTAAAAACGTGATTTTAACTGTTTTAACGTTTGAATTGTAGTGTATTTTTGAATTATAAGTTGCCCAAAATCACTGATCAAGATGAGCAGCTATAGAAATGGGGGAAAAAGGCCTGCAAATCTTTACTTCCAAGGTGCCAGCTAAGGGAAGAACCAGAAAACACCATTGAGCGAAAGCGATCGGAATGAATCACTGATGATCTGAAAGAAACAGATTACAGGGATACTGTAAACCACTGAAATGACTACTAGTCTTACCCTCAAGTCTGACTGACTTTTCCCCTCAATTTGGTTCTACGTTCCCATTTTTTAGGTACTCGAGTCCCAAAAGGGTTTTGTTGGACTTTACAAAAGCAAGACAGCAAGGAAAATTGACTTATTTGAGTTGTGGTGCCTGGAAAAGGCTCCTGCATATTCCTTGTACAGCAAAGATGACTAACAAGTACTGGAACGCGTAACACCAGAGATGTCACTGAAATGCAAAATCACAAAACTGCGCCTCACTTATTTTGACCGTCTCATGCAGGGGAATTTCCTGGAGAAAGCAATTATGTTTGGAAGAGTTAGAGGTAAAAGGAAACCAGGCCACCAGGAAACAGGGTGGCTGGACACCATCACACCTGACCCCAGCCACACATTCAATGGAACAGGGGTGTTAAACTCAAGGCCCATGCGCCAAATCTGGCCAAAGGGGTGGTTAGATCTCACCTGCAGGGGTGCCCTGAAAACAGCGAAGGATCAGCCCACTCGACCCTCCCGAGCTCCGTTTTCGCTGGCAGAGGGTTGCAGGAGGCCTTTGCAGCCGAAAACGGAGCTTGGGAGCCTGTTTTCCCTAATAGAGCACTCGGACCACCGCAGGTGCCCCCGACACGTCAAGTTGGCCAAGCCCCCCAGGTAAAACACAATCCTGATGCGGCCCTCAATGAAATCGAGTTTGACACACACCCCCCACCCGCAATAGAACAATTCAAAATAGTCGTGCAAGATTGGGAGATGTGGAGAAGACGTGGCCCATAGAATCGCCAAGAGTCAGGCGCAACTGAATGGATAACATCATTGTCATCATCACTGTGTTGCAACCTCTCACCTTGTTGTTCGTTGCTGGTATCTACAAAGAAGAGGCTTTCATCTGGCTTTTCCGACACTGGTCCTCTGGGGAGAAACACACACATAACAGATATAGATATAGATATATAGATATATAGATATATAGATATATAGATATATAGATATATAGATAGATATAGATATAGATATAGATATAGATATAGATTAGATAGATAGATAGATAGATAGATAGATAGATAGATAGATAATGGAGCTTCTGTGGTGGTGGTTAGAGTGCAGTATTGCAAGCTACTTCTGCAGCCAGCTGCCTACAATTTGGCAGTTCAAATCCCACCAGGCTCAAGGTTGACTCAGCTTTCCGTCCTTCCAAGGTGGGTAAAATGAGGACCCAGATTGATGGGGGCAATATGCTGACTCTGTAAACCGCTTAGAGAGGGCTGTAAAAGCACTGTGAAGCGGTATGTAAGTCTAAGTGCTATTGATACAAAAGACCCGAACACGCCAAGACCTGCATACACACACACACACACACACATACACACATGCAGGTCTTGGCGTGTTTGGGTCTTTTTCTGTGCAAGATTGAGAGTATCTTGGCAACGTTTCGACGAGGTCCCACTCGTCATCTTCAGGCTGGTGCTTTTGGCTTCGTGCTTGTGCGAAAAATATAAATAATCTTGATGAAAGACCATGAACTATATTTCTATATTTTTTCTTTCTTCCTTTCTTTCCTTTCCTATCTACCTACCTATCTATCTGAGAAAGAAATTATACATATAGAAATATAGTTCACGGCCCTTCCTCAAGAGCTAATACATTCCTGGGTTCTCAATAATGGGAAGCAGCCAGTCTTCTCCTCCCCAATTCTTAACCCTGGGTGGGTGGGTGGGCGGCTTCATAACCCTTGCTGCATCCCCAAGGTCACAGGGTCAAAATTCGGATGCTTGGCCACCAACTCGTACTTATGACAGTTGTAGCACGGGGGTCACGTGATCCCCTTTGACGACCTAACAAAGCTAAGTCGATGGGGAAGCCGGATTTACTTAACAACTGCGCAAGCAAACGTAACCTCTGCAGAAATCCGCTTAACAACGGTGGCGAGAAAGGTCGTAAAATGAGGCAAAACTCCCTTAATAGGAAAGATGGTGGGGGAAGAGCTCCATGGTGGTCGTAAATAGAGGACTACCTGTAATTCCACACAACTGTTCCCCCCCCCCCCCGTGCCCGCGCATGCGCAGAAGCACAGCCTCGAGGCTTCTCTCCCTATGCTGGCTCTGAAGGGTAGACTGCCTCCGAACCTGGAGGCTCTATTTCTCCTATGCATCCCACCCCCTTCCCTCCGCTTCAGAGGCCGGGATCTCACCCCAAGTGCCGCAGCTCCGAGACCCGCTCCTCCAGCCAGTCCCCGAGGTCCCGGCCCAGCTTGGCCTCGGGGCCCCGCCAGCGCTTCCAGCCCTTCTTGCGGTTCCGGGCGCCCCGGCCGCCCACCCGCCGCGAGGGGAGCTGGCTGGGGTCACGTGAGTTGGCGCTGAAGCCCAGGAAGGAGGAGGAGGAGGAAGAAGATGCGGCCGCCTGAGGAGAAGCGCCCGGCGCCGCCATCTTGCGCCACGAGAAAAGAGAGAGAGGGGAATGAGAGAGAACCGGAAGAGGAGGGGAAAGAGCGCCGCCCTCACGGAATAGGAAGGGGGAAGGCGGCTTCCGGCGGAGAGTGGCACCATTTGCGTGGAAGAAGTGGACGATCCCCCCTCATTAAACCACAAAGAGGGGAACTATAGAATCGAATCGAATAGGATAGAATAGAATAGAATAGAATAGAATAGAATAGAATAGAATGGAATGGAATGGGATGGAACGGAACGGAACGGAACAGAAGAATGGAATGGAATAGAATACAACAGAATAGAATAGAATGGAATGGAATGGAATGGAATGGAATGGAATGGAATGGAATGGAATGGAATAGAATAGAATAGAATAGAAGAATGGAATAGAATAGAATAGAAGAATGGAGTAGAATAGAATAGAATAGAACAGAACAGAACAGAACAGAACAGAACAGAATAGAATAGAATAGAATAGAATAGAATAGAATAGAATAGAATAGGAGAATGGAATAGAATAGAATAAAATAGAATAGAATAAGAAAGGGAATAGGATAGGATAGGATAGGATAGGATAGGATAGGATAGGAAATAGAATAGAAGAATAGAATAGAAATAGAAGTAGAATAAGAAAGGGAATAGAATAGAATAAAGTATTGGAATGAAGAGTAGAATAGAATAGAAATAGAATGAAATAGAAATAGAATAGAATAGGAAATAGAATAGAAGAATAGAAATAGAATAATAGAAATAGAATAGAATAGGAAATAGACATAGAATAAAGTATTGGAATGAAGAGTAGAATAGATTAGGAAATAGAATAGAAGAATAGAATAGAAATAGAATAAGAAAGGGAATAGGATAGGACAGAATAGAATAAAGTATTGGAATGAAGAATAGAATGGAATGTGGGATGGGATGGGATGGGAGAGACTTTCCGAATTTTATCCTTGACACAGAAAGCTGGAATATTAAAAGCCCCCCAAGGATATATGCTTGTCCTGCTCACTCTGGACATTTGGATGCCCAGAATACCCCACTCCACCCCCACCCCGCGTGCATTAATTCTGTGTGCAGCCACTAGGGGGCAGGCCGATCCCAGGGCTCTGGAGCTGCAGTAATGGGGGGGGGGGAGCTGGGTGTGGCTGGGAAAATATTTGTCTGTTTTTCTAGCTCTGGGCTCAGCCGCCCCTGTTTTCAAAGCAGGACTGGGAGGGGAGGGACGGTGTTTCCTATGAGTCAGTTGGTCCCACTTGGTTAAGTCAAAAGTCATCTCGGCACCGGCCCAAAAAGAAAGGGAAAAAGCCCCACACAGATGGCTTTTTATAGGCCCGAAAAGCTGAAGGGAGGCTGGGGGTTAGTTCCCAACAAACTTTTACGGAAAAGCATTGGTCCACTGCAGCTCTCTCTTCCTCCGATACTTGGAGGGATAGACTGACGTGGGAATTGAAATTGGGGGGAGCTGGAGGGGGCCTGAAAAGGCGGGGAAGGCGGGTTAGGGATGCAGTTGGGAGATATACTAGAGCCAGGTTATGGGCAACCGTTTCATATCGTGCAGCTGTTGGCTGGGGGAGTTTGGGAAGTTGAAGTTCAAACATCTGAAAGATGCCAAGATTGAGAAATGCTGGCCTGGACTAATTCCTTCCTTCCTTCTCTCTTTTTCTGTCTCCCTCCATTCTTGTTCCCCTTCCTTCCTTCCTTCCTTCCTTCCTTCCTTCCTTCCTTCCTTCCTTCTGTCTACCACCTTCCATTCTTGTTCCCCTTCCCTTCCCTTCCCTTCCCTTCTTTCCTTCCTTTCTTCCATCCACTCACCTACCTACATACCTACCTAACTCACTCCTTCCTTTCTTCCTTCCTTCCTTCCTTCCTTCCTTCCTTCCTTCCTTTCCTTTATTCTTTTTCTATCAGGGTTTTTTTTTTCCTATCCAACATACACAAGACAGCAGGGAACAGGAAAGCCCTGGATGTTTCCCTTTATGTTTTTCCCATCTTCCACTCCATGCATGTGGGGCAGAGCTGCAGGACAGGGGCTGGCACGTTCTGGTTCTGTTCCTAATCCCAAATGTGCATTTGGGCCTTTCAGTCTCACCAGGAAGGAACGGCAGAAACACCCCCTTGCCCCCCACAGGCACTCATGTTCTGTGGGCACATGAGTCCCAGTGAAACTAGCCTGCACTGCGCACGCATGCGCCTCACAGCTGATTTTTGGCCCGTTTGAGGCCTTTTTCGCCTCCTCAAAGGCTCAAGGGAAGCTTTTACAGCCTCGCGAGGCCGAAAAATGGGCCTTCCGGAAATACCGGAAGTGCCGAAATGGGCCCGTTTTCAGCCTCCCAAGGCTTGGCCTCCCCTGGGCTCCAGAGGCCTTCCAGAGGCTGAAAACGGGCACTTCCGGTAGGCCCGTTTTTCGGCCGCCCGAGGCTGCAGAGGCTTTCCTTGAGCCTCCGGGAAGGTGAAAAAGGCCTCAAATGGGCCGAAAGCCAGCTGGGAGGCGCACGCATGCGCAGTGCAGGTAAGGGAACGAGGCGGGGTGTTGCACGCGCATGCGCAGGGGGGCAGGCCGCCACAACAAAAAGGTTTGCCTATCACTGCACTACAACATTTACCTTTTGTCGTATTGTCCTATTCTCTATTCATCTCTATATCTATTATACAGCCAATCATACAATGCATTCCACATCAAGTAATAATCCGTTTCTTCTCTTATCTTTTGTCTCCTTGGTCAGCTTATCCATCTCGGCACACTCTAATATCTTCTTTATCACATTTTCCTCTTGTGGCCTACTATCCTTTTTTTCCAATTTTGTGTGTAAGTTCATTCTTGCCGCTGTTAATTAATGTAGCCTTAGCTATTCTGTTTCCTTATCATGTTTTCCTGTTATTGTACCTAATACCTAAAGTCTCTAGTCTTAGTTCAAAATGTCCCTGGACATTTCTTGACTAGCATTTCTTCTATTTACCAATGGTGAATACATATCAATTCCCTTGCAACTGGTTAGAGGAACTTTGCCAGAAAATTGAAGAATTTGAAAGGCAGCGTGCAAGGAATTCAAACTGCAAATGATTGGTAGAAATACGGCTGAGTTAGGCTGGTGCATTTGGAAAAGCTCTTTGGTTTCTCGCTGATACATTTTCAAGGCTGCTGCAGCTTTTTAAAATGCCGGGAATTTTGGAGGGTTTCCCTTTGCATTTCAGATCATGAATAGCCCAAACCCTGCCAAGGCCAGGCCTTGAAATCAGCTGAAAAATCATGTTTCTGGGCTGTACCAAAAATAATATGGCCCAAAGGCATTTGCAGGAACTGGAAGGGGGAAAAAATCTAAGCGTTGCTCTACCCACTCCACCTCCTTTTTCCAGGCCAACGGAGGGGGAGAGGGGAGGCCGTGTTTTGCCCCCATGCCCGTGATTGGAGCCAGGGAACGCCTATTTTTTTCCGACGGAGAGAAAAAGAATGCAGATTTTATTTTATTTTTCCCTTTGGCTAGCCTGGGAGAGGCTGGCACCAGCTCAAGGCCCTGCTGACTCAGAGGCTGGGGCTCCGAGCTGCACCCTTCCAATGTCAATCCAGCCTTTGCAATCCAACATTTGTCCTGCAACCCCTCCAATGGGAAATAGTACAGTAGAGGTAGTCCTCGATTTACAACAGATCATTTAGATCAGATCAGATAATCGGAGTTGGAAGGGATCTTGTAGTCATCTAGTCCAACCCCCTGCCCAAGCGGGAGACCCTACACCATTTCTGACAGATGGCAGTCCAGTCTCTTCTTGAAAGCCTCCAGGGATGAAGCTCCCACAACTTCCGAAGGCAACTTCTGTTCCATGGGTGGATTGTTCTCCCTGTCAGAAAAGTTTCTCCTTATTTCCAGGTTGAATCTCTCCTTGTTCAGTTTCCCTCCATTGTTCCTTGTCTGGCCTTCGGGTGCTTTGGAAAATAGCTTGACCCCCTTCCTCCTCCCTGTGGCAGCCCCTCAAATATTGGAAGATGCTCTCCTGTCTCCCCTGGTCCTTCTCTTCACCAGACTAGCCAGGCCCAGTTCCTGCAACCGTTCAGTGTATCTTTTAGCCTCCAATCCCCTCATCATCCTGGTTGCTCGTCTCTGCACTCTTTCTAGAGTCTCAACATCTTTTTTATAATGTGGTGACCAAAACTGGATGCAGGACTCTAGGTGTGGTCTTACTAAGGCTTTATAGAGTGCTATTAGTACCTCCCTTGATCTTGATTGTATCGCTCTGTTAATGCAACTTAGGATTGCATTGGGTTTTTTGGCTGCTGCTGCACACGGCTGGCTCCTATTTAGCTGGTTGTCCACTAAGACTCCAAGATCCCTCTCCCAGTTCCTGCTATTAAGAAATCTGGTTTCACCCAGTCTATATGTCTGTACTTTTGGTTTTTCTTGCCTAAGTGTAGGACTTTACTTTTCTCTACATTTAGTGACCGGTCAAAGTTAAACTGTCACTGAAAAAAAAAGAGAGACTTAAATACCGTTGGTTGCACTGACGACTCTTGCGGTTTTGTGGCCACGTAATCAGAATTCAAACACTTGGTTCGTGTTTACAACGGTTGCCTGGTCTCCATCGCTTCTTCTTGCAAGAAGCGTCCGTGGGGAAGCCAGAATCACTTAACCACCATGTTGCTAACTTTATAACGGCCGTGATACACTTAATCCACCGTGGGAAGTAAAGCTGTAAAACGGGGGCAAAACTCACTGAACAAATGTTTCACTTAAGCAACGGAAATTTGGGCTCGGTTGTAAATCGAGGACTACCTGTATGAAATCTCAGGCATGGGGTTGGACTAGAAGACCTCCAAGGTCCCTCCCCAGTCCGTAGAATTCGACGAAAAACCGGCTACAAACGTCCCAGTTGTGATGTTCCAGGGGTCTACATTGGCCTCCCCTGGTGGAGCGTGGTCTGTGCTGCCATCTAGTGGCCGTCTGGGTTCTTGAAGGCCGCATAGGGCAGCCCTATTTTAGACCAGCCATCTCATTGCTAGAGCCACCTTTGGTAAAGGGGAGGGGGGAATCTCT